CATATCTAATACAATCCGTTTTAGTCAGGGTTCGAATGCACATTTGTGGTTGGTCACGTAATGAATTAAGAACGTTAATCAAAAGAGGAAAAGATTGTAGCAGTTTATGGAAGTAGACAAAATAGTGTTATTCGTCTATCAGTAAATACACAAATAAACTGTTTCTTTGCACGTTGTGCTTCTGGTTGTTGAGCAATACATTTCAGTTCCACACAGGGTCCGCATTTTTGTGGTTCGTTTGAACATGGAGCTAAAAAAAGAAGGAGAGAGGACGCAATATAAGCCAATAAACTCCCTTTGTTTCACGCCCAGATTATCCAATTAAACCCATTGAATTTCGTTCTATGGAAATCCACGATAGCTGGTGTATGTTTGCACAGTGAGACGTGCCGTAGTCCTGTATTTCAAGTGAGATGTACGCCCCTCTCATAAAATTGAATGCGCAGTTAAGAAATAAGGTCACTGCGTATGCGCAGTGGCGTGTGATTGGTACATTAGGTCATTCTGCGTATTTGAAGACCGGAAGCACAACAGTCGGACGATTATTCAAGAATTGGCGTCAATTTACAACATTTTTGTGCTCCGTGAGTTGACGATTTTCGAGGCTTGATTACCAAATTTTCCGCAAACATTTGCAAAACAGTTCAACTTGATTTATTATCGTTGTGAAGTTGGCTTTTAGACTCTATTTTCATTTTCTGCGAGCGACGTTTTTTAGCTCCGTGGTTTGAACGTGTTTCCATGGGGGGGGGGGGAATTGCGTGAATAAATTTAGAACAGAAGTCGGAATGTAACAATGTAGCAAGATGCCTCACTTTGTCGCCATGTTAAATGTTCGATTTCTTGTACTAAAAAGTAACCGTGATTATACGCTAAATTACAAACAATGACCTGTCGGTTGGCGGCAGATCATTGTTGAAAGAAAAAAATTCACGGCTAAAAGAAGGTGTTAACAACAACAAAGTGAGTACGTGACTGATGATACCGCGCATGTACGTAAGTGGTCAATATTGTGAACAATGAAATGTCGTTCACACACTCAGTGTATAAGACTAGAGAGCAAAGCACAGTTCAGTCATTCTGATTCAGTCTAGCTATCAGTTAACTGCTCAGAATTCTATATCGCTCGCTCTCTCTCTGAAAATTTGATATTGCTACGTTACGTTAAAATCGCTATATCAGTCCCACTGATAATCTATCTCTCGTATCAGTCCCACTGATATTTTATAACAGCCTCTTTATGTTAAAATTGCTACATCAGTCCCACTGATATTCCGTATCGCATCGTCTCGTATCAGTCCCACTGATATTTTATAACAGCCTCTTTACGTTAAAATCGCTATATCAGTCCCACTGATAATCTGTATCGCTTCGTCTCGTATCAGTCCCACTGATATTTTATAACAGCCTCTTTACGTTAAAATTGCTATATCAGTCCCACTGATATTCCGTATCGCATCGTCTCATATCAGTTCCACTGATATTTTATAACAGCCTCTTTACGTCAAAATCGTCAGTCATGGCTCAGAATATCGCAGCAAACCCATGCGTTGTTTGTAAGAAGGACGTAAGACCTAGACAGGAGGCTATTCAATGCGATAATTGTAGTAGATGGCAACATCGTACATGCGACACCAATATAACA